TGAGCAGGAGGCATGGTTTTTAGTATTTTAGATGAGTCTTGTGAGGAACTGTTAATAGATGCGAAAGAAGACTCTCTGTAAAGAACATGGCAAAAAGAAAAAAAAGAACATGGCATGATTCAAATGTATGGGGTTTTTTGTTTTGTCATCCTTTAGACCAGTCCTGTTGACTGAGGAATATAATGCAATCCAAATATGTAATTTGAACTTTTCTAGTAGGCACATGAGTTAAAAAAAAGGGAGGGGGCAAAACAAATCCAGACTTCTCACCCTGGCTCACGCAGCCCCACATCAGTCACTGGGCCTTCCTCTCCAGGCTCCCCTCATACTAGCCCTGCCTTCTAGAATCCTCCAGCCACATGGGCCTCTTTTAGCCCTTGAACTCACCAAGCTCATTCCCACCTCGAGGCCTTTATCCAGCTGCTTATTACTGCCTCATAGTCCCCATTGATCATTTGCTGTTGTCTCTCCTCCTCACTAAAACGCAGGTTCCCTAAGAGCAGGAATCTTATCCGTCTTGTTCACTACTGTATACTCGGGGCTCAGAACAGTGCCTGGCATACAGTAGGTTGAATGAATGAACAAATGAGGAAGAAGTGAACTAGACAGCGTTGTTCTGAAGTGAGGAGACGATCAAGAAATGGCTATCAGGTCACACAGAATTCTCACTAGACAGAGTGGGCTCCTTGTGATCTGGATTTTCCCTTGGTGACAGGGAATGCCTCTGGAGCCACCAGTTCCTCAGGCCCCCTAACTTGGGGTCACGCCTGCTGTTTCTGGGGTCAGTCTGTATGTCACCATGCCCTCCCCATCACCACCACCATAAGCAGCGGCCCCAGGCTCTGTGCATAGGATCATACTGGGACTCGTGTAGGGAAACAAGGTAGCAGAGTGACCACCATTTCTTCCCACCGGGTGGGTGGAGGGCAGGAGGCCCCCTTGTCTCAGAACTGCAAGAATGGTCAACACTCCCCGTGCAGTGGGGGGAGGCACCCTAGAACTTGAGAAGAGCTCTCTCTGTCCCCAGTGCACGAGAAGGAGGAGGAGACTAGTTGGAGGTCACCAATTGACCAAGAGGCTGTTAGATCACTGGGTGTCAACCCAACTTTAGAGGAAAGCCACCCATGAAGATGTTTTTAGTTTGGTACCAGTCATTGAGCTGTATACTTACAATATGTGCGTGTTCCTTTATGTTATATGTGTTTTTAAAACCCACACACCCAGACTCGCTCTTACAGGTTCTGCTTCAGAACGTCTAGGATATGTTCCAGGCACCTACATACATTTTAAAGCTTCCTTTGTGATTCTCAGTGGCATCTAAGGTTAAGAACTATTGATAAGGAGGGGCGCCTGGGTGGCTCAGTCGGTTAAGCGTCTGCCTTCGGCTCAGGTCATGATTCCAGGATCCTGGGATCGAGCCCCACATCAGGCTCCTTGCTCCTTGCTCCTTGTAAGGAGCCTGCTTCTCCCTCTGCCTGCCGCTCCCCTTGCTTGTGCTCTCTCTCTCTCTGATAAGTAAAATCATTTTAAAAAAAGAAATACTAATAAGGAATTACTAGGGACCCCAGAGCAAGAAGATGAAGAAGAGTGTGATGTAGTTAAGGGGCAAGGATGCTGAGACAGGACTTCAGTCACACTTAGAATAATGATGTTCCAGAAAGTCCAACAGACTGATAGGTTAATACACATTAAACCTCTGGGTGTCCAAAAAAATACCCCCAAACCAGCATTCAAAACCGTAAGAAGCAGGTAATTGGGAAATATATATATAGCAAAAGGTTAATAGCCTTAATATTTATTAAAAAAAACAACTCTTACAGATCAGTAAGATGAGCACCCAGTAGAAAAACAGAGTACAGACATGAACAGACAGTTCAAAAAGAAGAAATACAATGAGCCAATACATTTATGAAAAGTGGTCAGCCTCACCAGGAATCAAATAAATGCAAACTACAACAACAAAGAGACGTTATCTTTTGCCTAGCTAATTGGCGAAGATTAAATATGTGATAATACCTCATGTTAGTGAGGATGTGGAAAAAACAGGCACTGTCATTCACTGGTGGAAGTGCAAATTGGTGTAACCTTTCCAGAAGGCAATTTGGCAAGGCTTAAAGCTGAGGAAGATCGCATACCCTTTTGATGCAGCAATTCCCCTTTTAGCAAGATTGCCCTAGGAAATTACTGTGGATAGTCATAAACAATAATAGCTAACCTTTGTTAAATGCTCTGTGCAAGCCAGACTTTACGTGCATTGTCTCATACAAGGCTTACAGCTACCATCCCATGAGGGAGGAGCTATGATTATCACCCGTATTTCACAGGGGAGGAAACTGAGGCACAAAAGGATTAGGTCAGTGACCTGAGGACACAAAGCTACTAAGTAGCAAAGCCTGGATTTGAATCCAGGCGGTCTGAGTCAAGAGCCACGCTGCCCATCCACCAGGACGCGCTGGATGTGTGCGAAGGGTGAACGCTGCGTGCACTGAAGGGCATGATGTGTATATATGCTGGACCAAGCTGGGCCCATTTGCAATGAGGGGGCAACGGGGAGAAAACACGCTGAATACCCCAGGATAGGAACCGGTTACGTCAATTATGATACGCCAATAAAGGAATATTATGCAACCATGAAAAATGAGAAAAGTATGTGTGTGAACACTGGGGGTTTTTGTATATGCATAAAATGTCTCTGAAATGATACAAAAGCAATGGAAATTGGTTGCCCCCTGCAGTCAGAAGTCAGAGGGAGACTTGTTTTTCAAGCCATATACCCTTTTACACTTCTTTAAAAAAAAAAAGATTTTATTTATTTTTTTGAGAGAGCAAGAATGAGAGAGAGAGAGAGCACATGAGAGGGGGAAGGGTCAGAGGGAGAAGCAGACTCCCTGCTGAGCAGGGAGCCCGATGCGGGACTCGATCCCGGAACTCCAGGATCATGACCTGAGCCGAAGGCAGTCACTTAACCAACTGAGCCACCCAGGCGCCCCCTTTTACACTTCTTAAATTTTGAATTATGTGAAGATATTATTAAAAGGCATATGTATGTGTGCACGCACACGTAAGTTATGTTCTAGAGCTATTCCATGTAACTTTATTTCCTTGAAATGCTGCTAAGGATTCTGAGAAAAAAAGTTCTAAGACCCTGGCTTGGAGAATCATCCCAAAGTCAGTGATGCTACTTCTTTAACTCTGTTACCCACCTGTTCCCCAAACTGGTTTGCTCAGGGAACCCTTTTCTCAAGTAACGTCTATGATCATCTCTCTGGATATTCGTGGCCTATAGAAGTCAGTTTGGGAAATGCTATCGTTAATAGTTAATGCCGAGCTCAAAGGCTTACATTTCTTTCATTAAACAAAAGAAACGTGTTACTGACGCCGATCCTATTTATTTACAATGCATGTGTATGTGTGTGTATTTTAATTCTGAGCACTAGGATGGTGGATGATTTGGTTTTCTTCTTTTATCCGTCTGTATTTTTAAATTTTCTAAAATGAACAAAATCATTTCACAAGCACTGTTGTTTTTGAGTCTATGCAATATCATTTTGAAGCTTCTGGAGCCCTTTCTCTTTCTGCTCTCTTGGCCCGGGCACCCCGTTCCCATCTACTGCCTGCTTACAAGCAGCCGTTCAGGGGTAGGTTCAGGGAGGGAGGCCTAGCCATAGCCAGGCCCTCTTGGCGGCCTTCGTCCAGAGTCAGCCAGGCCGGGACCATTCGGTCCCCAGACAACTCCCTGGCCTAGCAGACCCTGGCTTCTGCTGTTGGAAGAATTTCAGTTATGTTCTCCATTTCCCAAAAAGAGACACAGGCTGTAAAAGCAGACACCAGCCTTCTACGGGCCTGATGTGTTGCAAATGCAGATACCTGGGCTTCAGTCCCAGCTCTGTGGCTGCCTGGCTGTGTGACCTTGGGCAAGTTTCTTAACCTCTCTGAGTCTCATCTTCCCCATCTATGTCAGCAATGACACTTGCCTCACAGAGCTCAGGGACCGAACGAGAGCGTGCACGAAGGCATTGTGTAACCTGTAAAGGGCTGTCCCTGTGGAAATTATTATATGCCCCAGTAGGGAACACGGGCTTGCCCTTACCTTCCTGAGAACAGAGTACTTTTTCCTTTTTTTTTTTTTTTCGGTTGTTGGGGGGACGGGAGCAAGGAGATGAGGCATGGGAGATCTGGGCACGTGGAAATAGAATTCTGTGTAAGAAAAATGGGAGAAGCCTCTCTGCTTGGCATTTGCAGGACTGCAGCCCCAGGCCTTGTCCCCCGGACAGCTGCTCCACTGGACCCATTCTAGTCAGCCCACCTCTCTGGACCACGTGATTCTCCGAAGCCACCGTGCTGACGCTGCCTGGCTCACCTCCCTTCCTGCCCCTTCTAGCACCTTAGCATCCTTTAGCCCTTAGCTAAGTTAGCTCTTCCCCCAGCCTGGATTGGGGTCGCTCCTCTAGGTTTCAGCGCCTCCAGGCCTCCGCGTACCATGCTGTGATGTTAGGGCCAGATTACAGCTCTCCTGACGCGCTGAACTTTCTGCGGGCAGGAGCTCGGTCTATCATCTTGGTCCCCTGTGTCCTCTGGGCCCAGCATAGGCCTGGGCGTCTGGGACAGGAGTTAGAGCATGAGCACCAAAGTCAAGGGGACCTGGGCTTGAATCCCAGTGCACCCTGAGAAAGTGCCTTCACCATTCTGAACCTCAGTTTTCCCCATCTGTAAAGGGGTTTCATCACTTGCAGTGAGTTCCTGGGGGGTTTTTTTCGTAAGCTAATGTATGTAAAGCTCCTAGTGTCATTCCAGGCGGGAGGGAAGCTCCATAGGTAGTAGCCACATTGACAGCATTGCAGACCCTCTGTGACCGAGGACTGAAGTGGGAAACGACCCCGGGAGGGGTGGCTCCCCAGGCCACCCTTCCCCCTCCTAAAGACAGTGGCCCTCCCTCCACTGCGCACGCTTGGCTCCGCGCCCCCGCCACCATGCTCACCTCCCCGCCTTGTACCCCACAGCCACCCGGCCCAAGCTGAAGAAGATGAAGAGCCAGACGGGACAGGTGGGTGAGAAGCAGTCACTGAAGTGCGAGGCAGCGGCGGGCAACCCTCAGCCCTCCTACCGCTGGTTCAAGGACGGCAAGGAGCTCAACCGCAGCCGGGACATTCGCATCAAGTACGGCAACGGCAGGTGAGAAACGCCCCTCCCTCTGTCCAACCAGCGGCCCTGCCCCCTCCCTGAAAAGGGGGGGCCAGTTCCCGGTTCCCCTTCCTGGCCACACCGCAGCCCTCCTTGCAGCTCTGGGTCCCTCTGGTTATGGCAGCCCAGCATCTTGCCGACTGTAGATGCTTAATGAAGGTCTCTGGCTGGTTGAAGGCAGTTTGATTATCAAACTCAGCGTTACCTGTGGAAGTCCCCTGTTGTCCCTAAAACTTCTCGAAGGACCTGCCTCAGGGTCTGAAACCCACCATTTGGCAACCTTTGGTGGAAGACGGACTCCAGGATGCATCTGGGAAGTCACGAGTGATGACTCCAACCTTCCTCTACCACCAACTCTCTCTCATCACTTCGCTTCTAGAAGCTTTCCCTCCACGTCGCGGTGCCTGTCCCTCCTCCAGCTCTCGTCCGTCCCGCTTCTCCCCTCCACCATCAAGTAGGGTCAGTTGCCTGTCCGCTGACTGCACCCTGTGGTCCTCTCCACGCCTCCCTGCCCTGCTGGATTCTGCCTTCTAACTACACTCTGCCGCCTACTTCGGGCCCCAGGCCCCCAGGCCTCTGCAGCTGCTGGCGTAGCAGCCGCCGGCTCTGCGGCCTCTGGGGCTGCCCCCTGGGCCCTCTGTGCCTCTAACCACTCTCTCTCTCCATCACCGTCAGTGCTGGAACTTTCCAGGCTTGGGGGCTTCCCTCTTCTCCCTCCCACCCTCCCTCTCCGCTTGGGGGTGACTTTACCCTCTCCTAGCTGATAACCTTGTCCCTAGTTGGATGCCTTTATATATATATATATATATATCTGAGTTCCAGATCCATGCTGCCAACTAAACACTAGATCCCACCCCTGAGAGGCCCCCAGACAGCTCTAACCCTGTGTGCCCCAGTCTAGCCTCTCCCCTGCGTCATCTCGGGCCCTGCCGCACCCTCCTGTCTCCCCTCTCGGCAGCGGCAGAACCAGACGGCCCACTGCCTGGCACCTGCCCCCATGCCATCCCCACCAGCAGGAGACTCCCTGCTCTCCTGCTTCCAGCTTCTTTTCCCCCGCTGTCCCACTCTTGGCCGTCCCCATTCTTCCTGGGCCACAGGCCCCTTTGTGAGTTCGCTGTACATAACACACGCACATGGAACATCAGCTGTGGGCCAGGCACTCTGCCCAAGGCTGGGCCTACACCAGAAATTGAACCACGCATGGTCCCTCCCTACCTTCACAGAGCTTCTAGTCTAGCTCCCAGTCCAGAAGGTGGTAGAGGCCTCCACCCTGTCTTCCGAAAAAAAGGTGCCTTATCCACCCGGTTTTGCTTACAGTTCTAGAGGCCCGCTGGCCCCTGTGACCTTGGCAGGGGATGATCTTTCTAACATGGATGCATATCTGATCATTCACCCACTTACGTGACAGATCTTGAGAGCCTGCTGTATGTCAGCTAGAGCCCAGGCCTCAGGCCCTTCCAACTCCCCTCTTCCTCACCTCTAAGTCACTGCCATGCTCTTCCCCAACCCCCCAGTGCTCCTGATCCCTGGTCTTTTCCTTTCATGATCCCGGACTTGGGCCCACGCTGTTTCCCGTGCTGGCAGCTACCCCCCCTCCCCAACTTTGTCCCTAGCAAAGTTCTCCAGGCCCAGATTAAATGTCATATCCTCTGGGACACCTTCCTGAACCCTCCAGGCAGCTCTTATGGTGCCCTCTCATGGTGCTTTGGAAATGGTTTCATTGCATTTTGGGGGGTTGTCTCTCCCTGTAGCACGAGAGAGCCTCAGAGTCTGGATGCCGCTCATATACATCCTTCTGCCCTGTAAGGGCCTGGCAGGGACCTGCATTCAGTGTTGAATGAATGAGGATCTTGCAGGACCAGCCCCCCTCTCCTGGGTACAGGGTGACACTAGGACTGGACAGCCTTTGGGTTGACCTAGACTTTGAGCAAGTTCCTGTCCTGGTCAAGCCTCAGTCTCATCTGACAAAGGGGTTACCCGGTCCAGAAACAGGGCCTTGTCAGGTCTTTCTGTCCTGGGTATTGGGGACCCCTAAGAGCCTGAAGTGTGCCCCCTGCCCTCTTCCTATTAGGGCCCTGTCTCATTTGCTGCAGTCCCGAAACATCCTCGATCCACCTATCCCGCCCCTGGGCTCCCAGCAGTGAGTTGACGACGGGGTGGAGGAGTGAGCCATGACGGAGAACTTCGGATTCCCTCGCTGTGGCAGAGAGGGCCGCCCCTCCACACGCACACACACTTCACCTGGCATGGGAGCCAGGGACGTGAGGAGGAGTCTCCTTGCTGGCAGAATCTTCTCTTTCCTTCCGCCCACACTACAGCTTGCTCTCTGCCCATCGTAGCACTCCATCTGCCAGGCCACACTCCGTCGTGACCAGGCTCTTGGGCTATAGAGGCCGCCTCCCCCAATAGCTGGTGCTGTCTCTGGGGCTGCCACACTGAGGTGTCTCGCCCAGGCCGTCCTGTGCCAGAAGAAAACCAGCCCCCCCAAGCCCTGGGCGCAGGGCCCTCCCCTGCGGAACCACATGTTCCCTTATTTATGAGGGACAAGCTCCAACAGGCCCCTCAGGCAGGCAGCGGGAGGTAGGCATGGAGGAAAATGTGCGAGTGGAGGATGCGGCCGCCCAGATCCCGTCCCTGCCGGCATTAAACTGGCTGGGGGGGGGCAGCATCTGTCGCAGGGCCAGGCCTGAGTCAGTGTGGCAGGCGGGCATCGGGCCTACCAGGAAGGTGGGACAGAGTCCCGAATCCTCAGCGTTTCCGACTGGAGCTAGGAGTGACAAGAGAATGTAGCGGCCCCTGCTCCTTCAGGGCTAAGAGACCCAGAGAGCCCCTACCCTGCAGCTCTGACCCCAGGACCTCTTCTCCAAGTCCGGGGCGCCCTCCCCGGCACTGGCCAGATCACCACCCAGCTGAGAACGAAGGTGCCTGCAGCCAGCAAACCAAGGCGCCCTTGTTTCTGTCTACTCGCCTCTTGTCAGCTCCTCAAAGGAGAGGCATCTCCCTGAGCCTTGGACCGACTTTCCACAGGCCTCACAACTTTCTGTGGGAAGGCCTTCCTCCCATTTCCAGCCTTTATCCCTCCAGAGATCTGCGAGCCTAACTCCACCTTTCCTGCTACCTAGGATGTGGTGTAAGGGGAGCTCCTGTGAATTCAGCTGTGGGTGACAAGGAGCTTCTGGCTCTGTGCCCCCTATCCTCTGACCCTGCGACCCTCAGGTGGTCCCCTGCTCTGCTCATCTAGTGTCGGGGAATTGCTGGTGGCCAAGAAGTGAGAGAAGCCTGGTCCTGAGGCCGCTGGGCTTTGTGGCAGCGGATTAGCCGAAGCCAGGAAGGAGATTAGCTGAAGCCAGGAAGGCAGCGGATTAGCTGAAGCCTCCAAGCCTCCGTTTAACGAAGAGAACGGACTTGAATTGACAGAAGAGGACTGTAGGCAGACACCAGGCCAAGGAGACAGAGACTGGCTTGAGCTGGGAAGGGTTGGAGGGACGGGGCGGTCAGACAGCTGTGGCCGAAACATCGGTGAGGACGTCACGACAGCAACAGGGCCTGTTGACAAGACAACCCCATGGACCCTCCTTTGGAGGATCTTGGAGTGAGGAGGTCGGGGAAGAGGCCCCCCGAGGCAGCAGTGAGCCCAGGAAACAGGTTCCCAAAGCACAGCCCCAGTGGGGATGGGGGTCAATTCTCTGGCTCCTGCACCCGCGGCCCAGCCTCGCCTCCCCTGCCCTTCCCCCGTCAGCATCACGGCTCTATTTTTCATCCCTGGGCTTAGGACAGTGGCAGCTGGACTACCCTACCTCCTGTTCCACCACCCCTCCAACACGCTACACATATTCTGGGAATCTGGTGTCTTAATTTGGGACTAAAAAGAGGAGGTTACATCATGTAAAGAAATTTTCATGCTACTTCTTGTTTCCCCCTGGGGCCCAGGCTGGGCCACTAGGCTTTATCCAGAGCTCAGAGGGGCCCCAGGCCCCTGAGGAGCACTGGGGCAGAGGGTGGGATGGGAAGGGTGAACAGACCCCGCAGAGCCCAGGCACCCTGGGGCAGGGGCAGAGGAACCCTGGAAAGGAAGGAGAGGTTTGGCAGGGTCTTCGGAAAGAAGAGGGGAACCAGGGCCTGGTGCCCTGGAGTCACACACAGCCCATGGTCCCTGCCCAGGCCTGGCCCCACAACTCTCGGCATGCAGGGACGGGGTGCAAAGCCCTTCGCAACGGAGGCTAGCCCCCCAGCCTCTGGCTCTGGGAAATAGCCCATGAGCCCCTCACCAGCTCCAGCGCCTCGTCCACCTCTGCCTCTGTCTTGCCAGGCCCCTTCGCACAAGTCCCGAAGCCCCTGTAGGACTCAGTTTCCCCATCTGTACTGCCTATCCATCTCCCGGTTAGCCAGGAGGGTCAAGTCAGGCCATAAGGACCAGGATCTGTCTGTTCCCTTGAGGGATCCAAGCTTCCAGCTCATAGAAGGCACTCAGTAAACAGTTATTAAATGGATGGATGGATGAAGGAATGCATGCATGCATGAAGGAAGGACGCTAAAGCCCCGGGGAGAAGCCACAGAGTACCCCTAGTGGCAGGGCTGAGGTGAAGGCGGGGGAGCCACGGGTTGGGACTGGGCGGCTGGACACAGGTGCCACGGGAGGCTGTTAGCTCAGGGGCCTGCCCCGGGCCCTGGGGACGGGCCTTCCGTGTCTAGAGCGGCAGGCTGCCACTCCCAAGGGAAGGCTGAGGAACTGGTGAGCAGTGGCTGCCCTGTTTTGAGGGGCACACTGGGACTGGGGGAAGGGACCCTGAACGGAAAGGAGAGAGGTAGCCATGTGACTGCCTCAGGAGATCCCACTTTCCTCCCCCAGAAAAAGGCTACAAAGAAGGTCCAGCCCCGGGAAAGTGGACAGGAGGACTCGCAGATTAAGAACGTACATGCAGGGGCGCCTGGGTGGCTCAGTTGGTTAAGCGACTGCCTTCGGCTCAGGTCATGATCCTGGAGTCCCGGGATCAAGTCCCGCATCGGGCTCCCTGCTCAGCGGAGAGTCTGCTTCTCCCTCTGACCCTCCCCCCTCTCATGTGCTCTCTCTCTCATTCTCTCTCTCTCAAATAAATAAATAAAATCTTTAAAAAAAAAAAGAACGTACATGCAGCCGCTAGCTCTACCCTGTGCTCTCCTGAGCCCCCAGGTCTCCCTGCAGCTCGGGGAGCTCAGCATTCCACCTGGAGCCCAGAATCTTCTTCCGATCCACCCTGTGCAGCCACTGTGGCTCTGTAGGGAGAGGTGACCGCTGGGTGACCGCTGGGGAACCACAGCCAGCCTGAGCCTTGGCTCACATCTCTCCCCCTCTTATCCCCTCCCTAACCAGAAAGAACTCACGACTCCAGTTCAACAAGGTGAAGGTGGAGGATGCTGGGGAGTATGTCTGCGAGGCTGAGAACATCCTGGGGAAGGACACGGTCCGGGGCCGGCTCCACGTCAACAGCGGTAGGTGGTCCCCCCACAAAGGGAGGGGTCCTGCAGGGGTTTGGTGGGGGCAGGCCAGTTGCCCCCCAGCCCTCAGGAGGCCCGCACATGATCCATCTTGCACTTGCCTCCCCTCCCTCCTGCTGCTGCCATATCAAGCCCCAGGATCTGGGCCGATTCAGAGAAATGCAGTTGAAGCATAAATGTTTAGCTTTGTTATCTGGGCCTGGAAGAGCCGCCAGCTCTCATTTTAAATATCCTGAAAACTAAACATTTTGAAATCAGGAGGTGGGGGTAGGGGAAGGATATTTTTAGAAGGCAATTATGGGAGGCTGGGCTGCCAAGAGCGGGGCTCCAGGGAGAGGCAGGCCCTGGGCGTGTGGGAGCTGACTGCCTGTTGCTTTGCCGGGCCCCCAGGTTCAGGCAGCCCGTCTCCCCGGGGCCACGGCCAGGAGGCTGGGCTGTGTTGGCTCCTGCGGGCAGCAGACCCTTCTCCCACAGGTGGGCCTTTCCCTTAAACACATGCAAGGTCAGAAGCCCACGGCCGCCACGGCACCCTTAGCTTCCCACCTCCCCCGTGGCAGTCCAGTGTCGGCACCCAGGCAGCCTGCTTTCCCTTGGCTGGAAAGTGGCCAGAGCTGCCTGTCCTCAGGCCGCACACTTCCACTCTAGCCCGGGAACTCCAAATCCCACAGATCGCTCTCCCCCTCCCAACACCCACACACTGAGCATACCATTCGGCTACCTGGTTCTTTGGGTTCACTTCCAGTCCTGCCCCTGTCAGTCTAATCCTGCAGCTGCCTTCGCCTGCCTGTACGAGGCAGCCCTCCAGGACTCCCGAAATCCAGCATTATCTAAAGAGAATGTGGAACGTTCCCTGCCCCGGGACCCTCAGAGGAAAGCCTGGTGCAGACCCGGTCTGTCCCGTGCCGTGAGGGGCTCTCTGTGTTCTCCCAGCCCCTCAGGCTTCTCGCCTCCCTCGCCGCTGTATCTTAAAGGTCCAAGCCTCCAAGTCCTGGTCTGTCTTCTTTCTGGATCTTTCTCACATCTGTACCTCCCACTCCAACCCTACCTCAGAGGCAACCCGGCCCAGGTTTCAGCCCTATTCACCTAAACCAGAGCAATGGCCTCTTAAGATGCTTTCGTCTTGTCATGCCCCCACTCCATGGTGCCACAGAACAAGAACTTCGTCCCACAGCCTAGAACCCACCAACCTGGCCCTAACGATCTTTCCTGTTCTTATTCTTCCTCTCGTGCTATCTCTCCCAGGCTACGGTCCGCCCCGACCCCTCCCTCCCACCACAGTGTCATTCCCAGCTCAGGTCCTGCTCCCAGGTGGAATTGTGAGCCAGGAGTGGGGAGAGCGGGGATGGTGCCCTCTCCCCAGGAGTTACAAGGAGAGCTACTGTTTACTGAGAGCTTGCTCCGTGCCCCCTTCTATACGATCTCTTGAGCTCTGACAAACCCATGGTGTAGCTCATAATTTATGAGACTGAAGCTCAAAGAGGTTAAATATTCTGCCGCACGTCTAACTGATGGTTAAGGAGAGATCTAGACCATGTAAAAGTAGGTAGCGAACACGGAGACCGTGAGCTCCATGGGGCTAGGTCTCGCCTGACTGCCGCTCTCGCTCAGGGCCTAACACAGTGTCTGGCTCATAGTCAGCGCCTGGTAAATAATATAGAAAAGGACTTATAACCTGCTCCAAGGCCTTTACCGACTCCCACAGGCCCCGGGGGGGGGGGTACGTGCCCCCCACCACCACCGCTCCTCCCCACCTGTCCCAAGCCCAGGAAAATGGACCATGCTAGGTGTCCAGCACCCATTACCTCTAGCCATAGTGGGCAGACATTCTTAAATCCATTTTGGACTTGACGTTTCTTGTTTTGTTCAAGATTTTCTTGGTTAGAACGGGTAGGAGGGGCACCTGGCCGGCTCAGTCGGTGGAGCATGCAACTCTTGATCTCAGGGTCGTGAGCTTGTTGGGTGTAGAGATCACTTAAATAAATAAATAATTTTAAAAAAATACCCAACAAGAACCCAACTTAAAACTACTTAAGGAACGTACTTATTGGTTTATAAAACTGAGAAATCCAGAGGTAGAACCGGGCTCAGACACGACAGAGTCCAAGTACTCAAATAGCGTTCAGGATGCCCTCTCCCACGGTGTGTTGTACTCGTTCTCTCCTTCTGTAAAATGGGCTTCTCCCATGTTTGGGGAACAGATAGGGAAGAAGAGACCATGGCCTCAGACAGCTCCAGGTTTCACATCATCCCGGCCTCCCACCCAGGGAACACAGACAGCTCTCCTCTGCATCCTTCACATGACCCCAAGGATGGGTGCCAGTGGGTCCTGCTTAGTTCATGTGCCCCGCTTGGCCCAGTCACTGGCCTCAGGGGATAGGGGTGGTATCCTTGCCAGGCTTGTGAGCGTGCCAAGGGGATAGAGAGGCAGAGTCCAGTGAGGGATGGCCCTGCCCGAACTACACGGGGTGGTGGGGGGGCTTTCCTAGAGGGGTGCTGTCAGCAGAGGAAGAGGGCAGGGCTGCCATGCAGAAAACCACAGTAGCAGCCTCGCTGCGGTGCTGGCCTTGGGGCCTGAGGCTGGAGACCATTGGAAGATCCCCGTGCCCCACAGGAGCTCCTGTCCGCACTCAGCAGCCCCTGTTCTGATCGGTTAGGGACCGGGGGGCTGCCCCAAGGGCTCCTTGCCTCTCTGCCCTCCAGCCCAGCATGAGAGCAGTTGGCCTGAGCCACACAGAGTCCCGAGCTTTGGTCTCTTCCGAGCTCTGCGAGCCTGGGAGACTTACTCCACATCACTTGTCTTCCATTTCCCCAGCTGAGACTGAGCCGGATGATCTCTAGACTCTTTCCCCGTAAAATCTGAAGATTCTGAGTTTGGTATTGAGACAGACATCCTGTGCACATAGCCCCCACCACACACACACACACACACACACTCACACACTCACCCCACCTCTTCCTTGCCCTGTTCAGTCCATGGCAGGCCCCTACCCTTGACATGGGGTGACGAACAGGGCCCCTGTGGGGGCGCCGTTTCCACAGGCAGAGATGCCCAGGCTCCTTGTTTACCCATGGAGCCCAGAAGACCTGCAGCAACCACACCCTGGGGCGGAGGTGGAGGGCGGGTAGCGGGGAGCTGTGCCTGCCCCCTGTGACTCATCCCAAGGTGGGTTGGCTTGGCCCGCCCAGGCCCCAGGGAAGCCAGGGCCACAGCGGTGGGGTGACCAGAAGAGGGCATGGGAGGGCGCAGGGAGCAGTGGCCGTGCCAGGGGCATCGCTGGGACCCTGGCGGCCTGCTTGGGCTCTGTTGCCGCAGAGCTTGAGGCTCCTTCCCCGAATCGGAGCAGACCCTGCTTACAGTCACAGTTCTGCCAGCTCACAAGACACCGCCTCCCTGGTTGCCTGGGAGGAGGAGGAGTCAGCAGGACATTTGTGGGGCTTTTAATAAAACAATCAGCTTGGTCCAGCCCACCTCGGAGTTCAAGAAACCAGCTGCCTCATCCCCAACTGAAAGAGAACTTGGGAACGTCCTGAGGTGGCTGTCCCAGTCCCAGGATGTCCAGCTGGGCTTCGCTCCACCCCAGAGCGGACGCAGATTTGACCTGGGGAGTCACAGGACCGCGGAAGCCCTGCAGAGGCTTCTGGGCCTGTCCCTCACCTGGGGGCTTAGAAAGGTTCCCTGTACACACACACACACACACACACCTGCTCTCTCGCTCACCTATTCAGCAAGGCCTTACTCAGGAGGACGAGGTTCAGAGCTCTGGGGAGTCATAGCTTTGGCTCCCGGCGAAGTCCCTCAAAGTTCCGGGCAGGACACCAAAACCCAAACTGAAAGCATCTGCCTGTCCTAACACATGAAAGAGGAAAGGCAACTTTACCCACAGGAAAGGGGGCATCCTGGGCAGGTGGGTGGGAGCTTTGATGAAGGGAGATCACTTGATCGGGGCCCGAAAAGGTAAGTGGAGGTTCCCCCATGAGCAGTGGAGAGGAATTGCCGCAGTCAGCAGCAGGGAGAGTGTCTCCTGGCCCTTCCCTCAGAGCCTCCGAAAGCTCACGCCCATCAAGACGCTGATGGCTGGGGGAGGCCTCCTGGGTTTACCCTTCCAGGCATTTTTAATTTTAATTCCAATGTAATTTACATGCATTATATCAGTTTCAGGTGTACAATAGAGGGATTCAGCCATTCTGTACCTTACCCTGTGCTCACCACAAATATACTTCTCATCCCCATCACCTATTTCACCCATCCCCCCACCCACCTCCCCTCTGGTCACCATCAGTTTGTTCTCTAGAGTTAAGAGACTTCTGGGTTTTTTGTCTTTTTCTTTGTTCCTTTGTTTTGTTCCTTAAATTCCACATAGGAGTGAAATCATATGGCATTTGTCTTTCTCTGATTGTATTATTTCACTTAGCTTTGTACCCTCTAGATCCATCTACGTTGCAAATAACAAGATTTCATTCTTTTTTATGGCTGAGTAATATTCCATTCTATATCCCATCTTCTTTATCCATTCATCTATGGATGGATACGTGGGCTGCTTCCAATTTTGGCTATTGTAAATGCTGCTACAATAAACATAGGGGTGCACATATCTTTTTGAATTAGTGTTTTCATATTCTTTGGGTAAATACCCAGTAGTGGAATTACTGGATCATATGGTAATTCTATTTTTAATATTTTCATACTATTTTCCACAGCAGCTGCCCCTGTTTACATTCCCACTGACAGTGCATTAGGGTCATTTTTTCTCCCCAACCTCATCAACACATGCTGTTCCTTATGTTTTTGATGTTAGCTGTTCTTCCAGGCACTTTTAAGATTTTATTTATTTGAGAGAGACAGAGATAGCGAGAGAGAGCACGAGTGGGGAGAGGGGCAGAGGGAGAGGGAGAAGCAGACTCCCCACTGAGCAGGGAGCCCGTCGCTGGACTTGATCCCAGGACCTGGGATCATGACCTGAACCAAAGGCAGACGCTCAACTGACTGAGCCCCC